CAAATGTATGGTAAATGTTGTTTTCTTGTCCAGGTTGTTTTAGATTTGACCTTCAGTGAGGCATGCCGAGGTGTGAATAGAAACATTACCGTACAAGTACAAGACACATGCGCACGTTGTAAAGGAAAGAAAGCAGAACCCGGTACACGACCTGTGCCATGTCATCATTGTGGTGGAACTGGTATGGTAAGTTCACTCATTTGTTTTATTTTGCTAATAATAAGGTTCCGTATTTGTTGCATTGTGGGGTCACAATGTTGCTTTAAATTATTTTAGGTTTGATTTAAGCAGGAAGCTTACAAATAAGCTTCCTTACAATCTTAATTGATAAATAAAATTATTTTATTTTATTGAAAGGCACATTTTAACTCAAATTTAGTTAATTTACCTGTAAGTTATGTCTTTGACCAAAATTTCCTTCTGCATCAAACATTCTCTCTCAGTCAATAGATGTACAAACTACTTCTTATGAAGTACATATCTAGACAAGAAAGGCTTTGATAGTTGTACTATGTTTGTTTCAGGAAACTATCAACACTGGCCCGTTTGTGATGAGATCGACGTGTCGTAGATGTCGTGGACATAAAGTATTAGTGGGTACTCCTTGTATTGTATGTCAAGGCAAAGGTGAAGTGTTGCTGAATAAAACAGTCACTGTACCAGTGCCTGCTGGTAAGTGTTATTGTGTTTTGTATTTTGTTTCATTTATTCTGTTAACGCATTGCCTGCTGAAAGCCTCCATGAAAAGTTGATATGAATGGACAGGGCCCTCGGTGTTGAGTTTCAAAAAATCTTTCTTTTGACAGGTTTCTTGTTTGGACAGCGCCCTCAGTGGCAAGTTTTAAAAATTGTGCTTTCTGTTTTTAATGCAACAAGAATTGTTGTATTATGTATACTATCAGTGCATGGTCTACCAATTTTTTGGCTGATATGTGATTATATTGGAAATACGGTATGCATATTAGGTGAAAGGCTTTGTTTACTTGCACGTAATTAGACTTTGGGATTCAAATTAGTTTCAGTGTGGTCAATATAGTCATAAACTGATATATCACCATATATTTCTGGTACATTTTTGTGTTCATTTCTAATTTATATGATCACAATGTTAGTTTTGGACAAGATACATTATTATTAATTATTAATGAAAATAAAGTGTAAAATAACTGTTGCTGTTATCAGTTTAAAATGATCTTTAATTATCAGATTTCTGTATATACTCATACTTTAAATAACCAAAACATTAATTAAATAAATATTCAAAATAGATTCTATTATTATATAGCCTTAATTAATTATTGGGATAATATAAAATACTATCTCCATAAAAAAAAATTAATTGTGGTTCGATTACATTATTTTTTCACAATAATAACAAAAGTTATTATCAAAAAAAATATTCTTGTGTATGAATTCATGAATAATACTTTTTTTTTCGTGGTTGTGAAAAAATTAAACAATGAAAATATACTTGCATTTTGAATTTTTTTTACAATGAACTTTAATACATTTATTTAGGTGTTGAAGACGGGCAAACTGTCAGAATGCAAGTCGGTACTGAAGAAATCTTTGTCACGTTTAGAGTTGCTCGAAGTAATTCGTTCCGAAGAGAGGGTTCTGACGTCCATTCTGATGTAGAAATAAGCTTTACTCAAGCGTCGCTTGGCGGAAGTATAAAAATCAAAGGAATTTATGAAAATATCAATCTTGCTGTGAGTATGAAAATGTTTTTCCTGATTTAGTTAATGAGAGTTAAACAATTGTCATGAAATATGTGCATACAACGTTTCATCCAAATACTATAAATGTTTCTTGTTTTTGTTTTTTGCTATTTTTTTTTTTTAATAATCATTTTTCTGATAAAATCCCAGCATATCTCTGTTTCATGATTAATTTCCATGTCTAATAACTTTGTGAATAATAATATAGTAAAATGATTTGGGCAGCCAAGATTTAGATGAAAAATTCCTAGTAACATGTCGGTAGTTATCTTATGTCTAGAGTGCACATACTGTCCTTATTTATATATTGTCTTTTATTGATTCAGATTCCACCAGGTACACAATCACATACAAGGATACGATTGGATGGGAAAGGCATTGCTAGAATGAGTAGCCATGGATACGGTGACCATTATGTACATATTAAAATCAGAGTACCCAGGTATGTATTTTACGATCAGTTTTTTCACCAACATTTCATAACATAAGTGAACA